TAAAAATACAAAAAATTAGCCTGGTGTATTGGCGTGCGCCTGTAGTCCCGGCTACTTGGGAGGCTGTGGCAGGAGAATTGCTTGAACCTGGGAGGTAGAGATCGCAGTGAGCCAAGATCCCCACTGTACTCCAGCCCAGGCAACAGAGCAAGACTCTGTTTAAAACAAAAAAAAAGAAGCTTCATACCTAAACTGGGCGTAGTGACTCAAGCCTGTAATCCCAGCACTTTAGGAGGCTGAGGTAAATGGCTTGAGCCTAGGAGTCTGAAACCAGCCTTGGCAACATGCAAAACCTGCCTCTACAAAAAATATGGAAAAAAAAAAAAGCCAGGGGAGGTAGCTCATGCCTGTAATCCAGCATTTTGGAAGGCCGGGGCGGGTGGATCACCTGAGGTCAGGAGTTCAAGACCAGCCTGGCCAACATGATGAAACCCGTCTCTACTAAAAATACAAAAATTAGCCGGGCGCGGTGGCTCATGCCTGTAATTCCAGCTATTTTTGGGAGGCTGAGGCAGGAGACTCACTTGAATTTGGGAGGTAGAGATTGCAGTGAGCCAAGATCACGTCATTGCACTCCAGCCTGGGCAACGAGTGAAACTTAGTCTCAAAACAAAACTAAACAAAAGGGCTGGACATGGTGGCTCATGGTGGTCCCAGCACTTTGAGAGGCCAAGGTGAGTGGATCACCTGAGGTCAGGAGTTTGAGACCAGCCTGACCAACATGGAGAAACCCCATCTCTACTAAAAATACAAAATTATCAGTTAGCCAGGCATGGGCAATGCCTGTAATCCCAGTTACTCAGGAGGCTGAGGCAGGAGAATTGCTTGAACCTAGAAGGCGGAGGTTGCCTCAGCCGAGATCAAGCCATTGCACTCCAGTCTGGGCAACAAGAGTGAAACTCTGTCTCAAAAAAAAAAAAAAAAATTACCCAGGTGTGGTGGCATGTGCTTGTAGTCCCAGCTACTTGGGGGGTTGAGGCAGGAGGATTCCCTGAGCCTGGGGAAGTCGAGGCTGCAGTGAGCTGTGATCATGCGCCATGGTATTCCAGCCTGAGCGATGGAATGATACCCTGTCTCAAAAAAATAAAAAAGAAGCCTCATACCTTTAGCAATCAGTTCTCTTTTCTACAACCACTCCCCAACATCCCCTTGTCCTAGGCAACTGCTATATAGTTCCCTATTTTGGATGTTTCATATAAATGGAATCATGCAGATCACTTCTCGATCTTTTGGCTAAAATCAAGTGTAGTATCTGTTCTTATCAGTTTGACACGTCCTCTATCTGAGGATGTAATAAAAATAAAATAAATAAAAGGAATCATGCAATATGTGATCCTCTGTGACTGACTTCTTTCATTTAGCCTAACTTTTCAAGTTTCTTCCATGCTGTAGTGTATATCAGTATTTAATTTCTTTTTTTTTTTGTGGCCAAATATTATTCCATTAAATAGATATGCCACATTTTATTTATCCACTCATCAGTTAATCATCATTTGGGTTGTTTCTTTTTGGTTATTCTGAATAATGCTGCTGTAAACATTTATGTACAAGTGTGTGTGGACATATGTTTCCATGTCTTTGAGTGCACACCTCGTAGTGGAATTGCTGGGTCATATAGTCACTCTATGTTTAATTTTTTTTTTTTTTTTTGAGACAGAGTCTTACTCTGTCACCCAGGTTGCAGTGCAATGGCAGGATCTCGGCTCACTGCAACCTCTGCCTCCCAGCTTCAAGTGATTCTCCTGCCTCAGACTCCCGAGTACCTGGGATTATAGGCATGCATCACAATGTCCGGCTAATTTTTGTATTTTTATTAGAGGAAGGGTTTCGCCATGTTGGCCAGGCTGGTCTGGTACTCCTGACCTCAGGTGATCCGCCCACCTCAGTCATCCCACAGTGTTGGGATTACAGGCATGAGCCACTGCCACCAGCCCTCTATTTTTAATCTTTTGAGGAGCAGCTAGACTGTTTTCCAAAGTATTTGCACCATTTTACCATCTCCCAGGAGTGTAGGAGAGGTCCAGTTTTTCCACATCCTTGCCAACACTTTGTTGTTACATGTCTTTTTATCTTAGCCATCCTAGTAGTGTGAAGTGCGATCACGTTGTGCTTTTGATTGCATTTCCCTCATGGCTATGATCCAAGGCCTTTTTGTAACCAGAATTTGCAATTAGGGTTGTCTGTCCACTCAGTCGACATTTTCACCTGATGTAGTGGTAGCTCTGGAGGATTTCAGGTTGTCCACTTTTCACTTTTTTCTCAATAGCACAGCAGTGCTTTCTGCACTGTGATTATACTTAGCCATCCTGTCATTCAAAGTCTTCTTGAGCACCACTTGGGTGCCAGGCATTGTGCTGGATGCCGAGGATATGGCAAAAAGGCCAGATTTCACCCCTTGGAAAATATATGGTGGTAAGCATGTGGCTCTGGACTTGAATCCCTGAGTTCTCACCTCCCAGCCTGTGGCCTTGGCCTTACCCATGCTTGGTTTCCTTGTCTGTGAAATAAGGTTGCTCTTGGAGTTACACACTGAGCACTTTGCACAGTGTCTAGTACACAGCGAGTGCTTAATAAGTACTTGTTCTTGTTAAAAGTGAAGTCAGGCACAGTGGCTCATGCCTGTAATCTCAGCACTTTGGGAGGCCGAGGTGGGTGGATTACTTGAGGTCAGGAGTTTGAGACCAGTCTGACCAACATGGTGAAACCCTGTCTCTACTAACAATACAAAAATTAGCCAGTTGTGGTGGCACGTGGCTGTAATCCTAGCTGCTGGGGAGGCTGAGGCAGGAGAATCACTTGAATCTGGGAGGTGGAGGTTTCAGTGAGCCAAGATCGTGCCATTGCACTCCAGCCTGGGCAACAGAGTAAGACTCCGTCACAAAAAAACAAAACAAAACAAAACAAAAGGTGAAGCCAGACAATTAAACAAATATCAACAGTAATAGATAATGACATGTGATGGGGGAAGTACACTGTCATGGGGGCACATAGTGGCCATCCCAGCCCTGTCCAGGGTCTAGGAAAGACTATTCAGAGGAAGCAGCGCTTAAATTGAGAGGTAATGAATGAGCAGGAGTTGGCTAGATCAAGAGGAGAGAGAGAGAGTTGTTTCTGGCAGGTTGAATGGGAGAGGTATGGCGTACTGGGGAGACTGAAATGTGTTCAGAATGTCTAGAGCAGTGCTGTTCAGTAGAACTCTATGTTTGTGAAAAGTTTCTCTATCTGTGTGCTGTCCAATATGGTAGTCACTAGCCACATTGGAAATGTGGCTGGCCGGGCGTGGTGGCTCACCTATAATCCCAGCACTTTGGGAGGCTGAGGCGGGTGGATCATGAGGTCAAGAGATCGAGACCATCCTGGTCAACAAGGTGAAACTCCGTCTCTACTAAAAATACAAAAATTAGCAGGGCGTGGTGGTGCACGCCTGTAGTCCCAGCTACTCGGGAGGCTGAGGCAGGAGAATTGCTTGAACCCAGGAGGCGGAGGTTGCGGTGAGCCGAGATCGTGCCATTGCACTCCAATCTGGGTAACAACAGCGAAACTCTGTCTCAAAAAAAAAAAAAAAAAAAAAAGAAATGTGGCTAGTGGCCAGGCATGGTGACTCACGCCTATAATCTGAGCATTTTGGGAGGCCAAGGTGGGGGAATCATGAGATCAGGAGTTCCAGACCAGCCTGGCCAACATGGTGAAAACCTGTCTCTACTAAAGATACAAAAAATTAGCTGGGCTTGGGGTTGGGCGCCTGTAATCCCAGCTACTTGGGAGGCTGAGGCAGGAGAATTCTTGAACCCAGGAGGTAGAGGTTGCAGTGAGCTGAGATCACGCCATTGCACTCCAGCAGGGGTTGACAGTGTGAGACTCTGTCTCAAAAAAAAAAAAGGAAATGTGGCTAAAGGGACAGTACAGACAGTACAGTTGAATGTTTACTGTTATTTTACTATTTATTTATTTATTTTTGAGGCAGAGTTTAGCTGTTGTCGCCCAGGCTGGAGTGCAGTGGCACAATCTTGGCTTACTGCAATCTCTGCCTCCTAGGCTCAAGCCATCCTCCTGCCTCAGCCTCGAGTAGCTGGGATTACAGGTGCGCATCACCTTGCCTGGCTAATTTTTGTATTTTCAGTGAGACGGGGTTTTACCATGTTAGCCAGGCTGGTCTCGAACACCTGACCTCAAGTAATCCACTCGCCTTGGCCTCCCAAAGTGCTGAGATTACAGGTGTGAGCCACTGCAGCCCGCCTTAGTTTCCATTTTTTATTGTTATTTTAATTTTTTTAATTGTATTTTAGGTTTTGGGGTACATGTGCAGAACATGCAAGATAGTTGCATAGGTACACACGTGGCAGTGTGTTTTGCTGCCTTCCTCCCCTTCACCCACATTTGGCATTTCTCTCCATGCTATCCCTCCCCAGCTCCCCCCCGCCTCCGCTGTCCCTCCCCGGTTTCCATTTTTTAAAAGACCACTTCAGTTGCTGTGAGGAGGATGGATTTCACTTTTTTCTCAATAGCACAGCAGTGCTCTCTGCACTGATTATAGTTAGCTATCCTGTCATTCAAAGTCTTCTTGAACACCACTTGGTGTGGGGCAAGAATGAAGCAGGGAGACCAGTTCGGAGGTGGCTGCAGTGACCCAGGGGAGCATGAGAGTGGCTTGGACCAGACAGAAAGACACATTTTGGAGGTAGAGCTGATGCCAGGGTTTGGGAGTGAGGAAGAGGAAGTCCTAGGGCTACTTCGGTGGTGGCTGGGTCCCCATCTCCAAGACTGAGTCCAGACCAGGTGGTGAAGTCTGATTTTAGCAGCACCTGCCCACCTCCTTGTCTCCACCTGCTGGCTGGTGGTGGGAGCACCTTTAGGGGAACTTCAGCCATCAGGGTCCTGGGTCCTGGGTCCTGGGTCACGAGGCTGGGGGAAGGTCCTGGGAGGTGGAAAAGTCCCCTAACTGCTGGGTGGATGGGTGGGCGGGACTGTGTTTCCAGGGGCATCTGCTGGGCCGAGCCTCTCCCTGGAGGCTGTCCGCATCAGCTCTCTCCCCTGCCCATAACTGGGTCAACTCAGGCCCTGTTATGGGCCACACAGCTGCTGGAAGGCGTGTGGTCGTGGAAAAGGGGAGGGGATAGATGTCAGTGTAGTTGGGGAAGAATCCCCCATCCATGGCAACTCCCATCGGAGGCAAGGCCTCACCATCCAAGGGCTGCCTCTGATTGTCCCCCACCCCCACCTGAGACCTCAGTGGCCAGATGGGGGAGGGGCGGGGGCGGGGCGAGATTCAAGCAGGGTGTGTCCAGATGGTCAGTCTCTGGTGGCCAGCCTGTCCTGACAGCAGAGTTAAGCTCCCACTCTCCACCGGTGTCTGCTGGCCAGGTGGGCTAAGGGTGACCGAGAGACCAGAACTTGCTTGCTCGAGCTCAGTGCTCAGAGCTGGGGAGGGAGGTTCCGCGGCTTCTCCGCTGTCAGCGCCCGCAGCCCCTCCCGGCTTCACTTCCTCCCGCAGCCCCTGCAACAGAGAAGCTCCGGGATCCCAGCAGCTGCCACGCCCTGGCCTCAGCCTGTGGGGTAAGTCGGTGGGCAATGCCGGGGACATAGGAGGGGGCCGAGTCCAGAAGCCTGACGGTGAATGATGGGGCCGAGAAGGCTGAGTGGGCTCCTGGCTTCTCCCGCCTGGAACCAGTGTCTGTATGGGGCTTTGGCTTCCTCTCCCTGGACCTCCACACCTCTTCCTCTGCTGCCAGGGTGGGTGGGGGTCCCAGGAGGTGGGGTAGGGGCTGGACAGACAGCTGTTGCTGCTGGGGCTTGGGAGTCTTGGGCTGGAGGAATGGGCCAGGGTTTGGCTGGGGACACAGACGGGCTAAATGGTATGAGATGGAAAGGACGTCCTCTTGCCCCAGTGTGGGCAGAAAGGGTGATGGGTCACACGTGCAAATTGAGGCAGCTGTGCAGCTCCCCACTTCTCATGTTTCTATGGAAAAATACCCCACCCTGGTACCCAGGGCTGTGGGAGCCTGAAGAGCTGGGTGGGAGTGGGCCCAGATGTGGCCTGGCCCATCCTCTCCACTTCCCTCTGCTGGCACTGCTCCTCTCTGCTCTCTGCCCCGCTGTCCCCTTCTCCACCCTTCTGTCTCCTTACCATTCTCTGACTCGTTTTCTTTCTTTCTGATCCTGTTTGCTGAGGCCACAGAGGCTCCCCAACCCTAACTGGGGCCCCACCCTCGCCAAGTGATGGAGGCTGTGGTTTCAGTTTTCTTGTGAGGGTAAGATTGTGCTGTTTGCTGAGCTTTCTAGATCGGCCTGGGGCCCAAGGCAGGGTGGTGGAGAAAGCCTGGGCCACAGGCTAGGGTCTCCCTTACCTCGTGAAGCACCAAGAGGCCCCGAGGCACAGAGAGGGGCATTCGATGCTATTAGAGCTGAGTCAGACTGAAAATATAGACAGACTCTGAAAGGCTTTGAGAACTGAAGAAGAATGTCATGGTAGATGCATGGTTTCAGATGTGGCTCTGCCAACAACTGGTGACATTGGAAAAGCCACTTCTCCTTTCTAAGCCTTAGTAGTCTTGGCAGCAAAATGCAGGGTTTGATAGACATGTGCGTTTCCCAATGGTTTCTCCTTAGAGCTCCCCTTCTGTGGTAGGTGTTGAGCGACGGGCCCCATCCCAGCCATTACCCTTTTATTTGGTGGAATATTGGCTGCCAGGCAAGATGTTATATAAAGAAAGGGTTATGCTGTTAATGCAACTGGGAACAGGGGTTGTGACCCCTCAGATACCAGGGAGTCCCAGAGGAAAAGTCTGAGACGTCATGGCTCTTCCTGGGGGACAGTATCAAAGGGGTGGCCCTGTTGAGACCCTGTTCCTCACGCCACAGGCCTCCCTCCCTCTCCTCACCCCTGCTCCTTATCCCTCCTGCCTGACTTCCTCTGTGGTGGGGCTGGGCTCCCACATAGTGGGTGGATCTACTTGCACTTGGCATTTTTTGCCATTAGAAGTAATGGCAAAAACTGCAATTCCTTTTTTTTTTGAGACGGAGTCTTGCTCTGTCACCCAGGCTGGAGTGCAGTGGAGTAATCTTGGCTCACTGCAACTTTTGCCTCCCAGGTCCAAGCAATTCTCCTGCCTCTGCCTCCCGAGTAGCTGAGATTACAGGTGCATGCCACCATGCCTGGCTACTTTTTGCATTTTTTTTTTTTTTTTAGTAGAGATGGGGTTTCACCATGTTGGCCAGGCTAGTCTCAAACTCCTGACCTCAGGTGATCCACGCACCTCGGCCTCCCAAAGTGTTGGGATTACAGGCATGAGCCACCCCTCCTGCCTGCAATTACTTTTGCACTAACCTAATACCTCCTTCTGCAGGCTCCAGTCAGGCCAACACTGACCCGCAGCTGGGAGGAAGGCAGGATCCTTGACACCTCTGTCTCCATAGAGGTCCCGGCTAGACGAGCAGCCTCCTCCCCCTAGAATGACCTCACCCTCCAGCCCTCCAGCTTTCAGGCTGGAGACTTTAGACAGAGACCAAGAAGATGGCTCTGAGACAGACAAAGAAAAGCTGGAGTTTGGGAGGGGGCCGCCTCCCATGGAGTCACAGTTCCAGAGCGAGGACCGGAACGTCTCCCCTCAGATCAAAGTGAAACTCAACTACCGAAAGGGAACAGGTGGCAGGTGAGGCAGCAAATGGAGGCAGGGCAAAGAGGGCCCCCTGGCCAGCTCCAGCTGAGTGCATGGAGCGAGACCCATTGGCTAGCCCAGCACCAGCGCCCCTTCCCACAGTCTGTGGCGTCCTCAGTCTGGCTCTGATGGCTTTTGGGCCCGACAGGCTGACCTCTGCTCTGCTGTCTGGCATTGCTGTTTCCAGAGGCTTCTGTCCTCTGAGGTCATGTTCTTCTTGAGGATACATTCTTATTTTTTTTTTTTTGGGAGGGGAGGAAGGCAGGAAGGGAGGGAAGAAGGATGGTAGGGAGCAAGGAAGGGATGAAGGAAGGAAGGGAGGAAGCGGGGAGGGAGGGAGGGAGGGAGGGAAGGAAGGAAATCAAGCAATGAGAGAGACATTGCCGACCTGGATCTAGAGGTTTACAAGTTGATTTCTTTTTTTTGAGAGAAGAAAAGAAAAAAAAAATAAGTAAAGGAGAGGAAGAAAGAGGAAGAGAAAGAGGGAGAGTAAATGGAAATATTGCTTTATTTTGAAAAAAATTGGGTATTAATAATGGCCAATCAATGTTTCATTTAAACTTATGGGTAGGTGTGATGTGGTATTGACAAGAATGTATATTTTGTGTGTTTGAAGTGGAGAGCTCTATAAATATTTATTAAGTTTACTTGTTCCAGATCTGAGTTCGAGTCCTTGATATCCTTATTAATTTTCTGTCTCATTGAATCTAAGTCTTGTATCTGGGTGTTAGGATCGTTAGCTCTTGTTGTTGCATTGATCCTTTTACCACTATATCTTTGTTGCTTTAAAATCTATTTTATCCGATACGAGAATTGCAACTCCTGCTTTTTATTTATTATTTATTTTTGCTCTCCATTTGGTTGGTAAATCTTTCTCCATCCCTTTGTTTTGAGTCTTTGTGTATCCTTGCCTGTGAAACAGGTCTGGATGTAACATGCCATTGGGTTTTGTCTGTGTCTTTTGATTGGGGGATTTAGTCGATTTAAATTTAGGGTTACTGCCATTTGATGTTGACTGGCTGTTTTATCCATTTGTTGGTGTAAATTCTTCTTTATGTTGGTGCTCTTTACTTTTTGGTGTATTTTTAGAAAGGCTAATACTGGTTGTTTCTTTCTGTGTGTAATGCTTCTTTCAGAAGCTCTTGTAAAGCAGGCCTGGTGGTAAGAAAATCTCTGAGTTCTTGCTTGTTCATAAAAGATTTTATTTTTCCTTCAGTTGTGAAGCTTAGTTTGGCTGGATATGAAATTCTGGGCTGAAGGTTCTGTTCTTTGAGGATGTTGAATATTGGCCCCCACTCTCTTCTGGCCTGTAGAGTTTCTGCTGAGAGATCTGCTGTAAGTCTGATTGGCTTGCCTTTGTGGGTAACCTGACCTTTCTCTCTGGCTGCCCTTAGTATTTTCTCCTTCGTTTTAACCCTGGTGAATCTAACGATTATGTGCCTTGGGGTTGCTCTTCTTGAGGAATATCTTTGTGGTGTTCTCTGTATTACCTGGGGTTGAATGTTGACCTGCTTTGCTAGTTTGGGAAAATTTTCCTGAATAATATCCTGAAGGGTATTTTCCAGCTTGGATTCATTCTCTCCGTCGCATTCAGGTACACCTATCAAACGTAAATTTGGTCTTTTCACATAGTCCCACATTTCTTGGAGACTTTGCTCATTCCTTTTTATCCTTTTTTCTCTAATCTTTTCTTCACATTTTATTTCATTAAGTTGGACTTTGACCTCTGATATCCCCTCTTCTGCTTGAATAATTCGAGTGTTTAAACCTGTGCATACTTCTCGGAGTTCCTGTATTGTATTCTTCAGTTCCATTAATTCACTCATACTCCTCTCTAAGTTGTCTATTCTCAATAGGATTTCATCAAACCTTTTTTCAAAGTTCCTAGTTTCTTTTTTTTTTTTTTGAGAGGGAGTTTCACTCTTGTTACCCAGGCTGGAGTGCAATGGCGCGATCTCAGCTCACTGCGAGCTCCGCCTCCTGGGTTCAGGCAATTCTCCTGCCTCAGCCTCCCGAATAGCTGGGACTACAGGCACGCACCACCATGCCCAGCTAATCTTTTGTATTTTTAGTAGAGACGGGGTTTCACCATGTTGACCAGGATGGTCTCGATCTCTTGACCTCGTGATCCACCCGCCTCAGCCTCCCAAAGTGCTGGGATTACAGGCTTGAGCCACCGCGCCCGGCCGTTCCTAGTTTCTTTACGTTGGGCTACAACATGGTCTTTTAACTCACCGAAGTTTGTTATTATCCTCCTTGAAGAGTGATTCTGTCATCAGGATGCGCTGGTTCTCCATCAAGCCTTGTTCCATTGTTGATGTGGAACTGTGATCATTTTTAGAGGGAGAGGTGTTCTGACTTTGAGTATTCTCAGCTTTTTTACGCTGGTTTCTTCCCGTCATTGTAAATTTATCCTCCTGTCGTCTTTGAAATTACCAACTTTCAGATTAGGTCTCTTGAGTGGGCATCCAGGTTGTTAGTTCCCAGGGCCAGAGCAGCGGCGTTAAAACTGATGGTGCTTTTCTGCCCAGGATTCTCCTGTTGGGCTTCCTTCTTGCGTCCGTAGTAGGCGACTCTGCCTTCCCGGGGCTCCAAACCTCGGTCAGAAGGGAAACCGGTCCTGTTTACTCTGCTCCAAGAGCTGCCGCGCCAAGGTGCCAGCGGAACCGCTGCGCCGGCCAGGAGAGTCGCGCTGGCCACCCGTGTGTTTCCTCCACTGGGGGATCTTCTGCTCCGTGAGCGACCAGAATTTGTCTGAAAGTGTGGCATCCTTTAGTTCTCCACGCCTTCCCTGAGAGCTGCAATCCCGGGATGTTAGCGATGGCCATCTTGGATCGTTCCCGGAGGATATATTCTTGAGCCCTAAGTATTCAACTGACCCTCAAATCCCCCTGTTCATGCCGACTCCCACCCCTGTCATGGTCCCTGTCTGGGAAGGCAGCAGGATCCACACTCCATCAGTGAGAGTCAAGGACATCTGGAGGTGTCCCAGGCTCTCCTCAGTTCTGCAAGGCTGTGCCTGTTGCGCAGGGGGCGTGGACTGTGGGATTGAGGATGATGGGCTTCTGCTTGGAGTCTTCTGCACTTTGACATTCCTGTGGTCTCTTCACCAATTCAGACTGTGTGAGCCCCACATTCCTGAGAGTCTCGCTTTCAGTCCTGCTGCATCTGGCACCCCCCTCCCTCCCTGCCCAGGGGCCTGCCCAGTGAGGCTGGAGAATCCTCATGGGCCAGGCTAGACTCTGCCAGAGAAGACCCTTCTTCCCTTCTCGTGCCTGAGGTGCAGCCACCAGCTTTGGCCTCCCAGGCTAGAGCCGCTGTCCTGTTTGTGCTGGAGGATTGTGGTCAGATTCAGCACCAGGTTAGGGGAGGATGCGTGAGGAGCTTCTGGGAGCTGTGGAACCTGCCCAACGCAGGATGGACAGGCCCTTGATGCCTTCCGTGCCTCAATCTGTGCCCTCATTGGGCTTCCCCACCCCAGGACCATGATGCCACCCTGGTGACAGAAAGTTCTTTGTCCAAATGGCAACTTCTGCCAGCTGGACTGCCCGTAGGGCTCCTGTCAGTTACAGACAGAGCCCTCATGGTCATGTGTGACTTTCTGGTGCTGACGAGGGAGGGCTGGCTGTAATTACAGTCATAGCCATTGGCTTAAAAAGTCAACCCTTAAAGTCTGGGTGCTGTGGCTCATGCCTGTAATCACAGCACTTTGGGAGGCCAAACCAGGCGGATCACCTGAGGTTGGGAGTTCAAGACCAGCCTGACCAACATGGAGAAACCTCGTCTCTACTAAAAAATACAAAATTAACCAGGTGTGGTAGTACATGCCTGTAATCCCAGCTACTTGGGAGGCTGAGGCAGGAGAATCCCTTGAACACAGGAGGCGGAGGCTGCAGTGAGCCGAGATTGAGCCATTGCACTCCAGTCTGGGCAACAAGAGAGAAAACTCCGTCTCAAAAAAAAAAAAAGTCAACCCTTGAAATCCCCACCAGAGTCAAGGAGGCAGAGGTTGCAGATTGTTTCCCTGTACTCCAGCCTGGGTGTCGGTGAGACTCTGTCTCCCCCCCCCCAAAAAAAAGTGACTGATCCCAACAATCACCTTAATCACCTTGTGCATCTGTCACCAACCTTTACTTGGTCTGCCCATTCCACAGGAGACGTTAAGTTGGGACCTGAGGTCTACAAAGCATCAAATAACACCCCTTGTTCTTTGTCCCCTCATAGCTGCTGGTCTTATCGCCAGAGGTCCCAGCAAGCTGGCCCCTTTGAATAATAACACAGCCCAGGAGAGAATGACTCATGCCCTTCCCTCTTCCAGTCACCAGACACTGCTAGATTCTGATAAGCTACCAGACCCTTTGTGGGGTCTATATGGTAGAGATCTCCCATAAATGTGCCTTCTCAGTGGTGTCTGACATGTTTCAGCGTTGGGCCCAGGTAATGCTCTGAGAAATTTCCTACTACCCAGCCTAGAATCTCTCTGGGGATTCAGTCTAAAGTTAAACAGCTCTGCTGAGGTTCCCAGTTTGATGCTGTGTGACTTCAGCAAGTTACATGATCTCTTTGTTTATCTAATGGACAAATGAGTAGTTCCCAACCGGCTGGGCTGAAGCGAAGATGAAAGGTGCAGAATATTCTATAGTTAATCGATGGCTTCAGAGAGAAGAAGGGAGCTTTTCTCCATTCTTTCTTGGAGGCTAGTGATGCATACAGCCACTGTGAGTCTGCAGGGACCTCCCACAACCCTGTCCAGACCCAGGCCCAAGCTCAAGAGCCACCATAAGTTGTGTGTGCTGAAGGAGACCCTGTGGGACAGCTAGGCTGTTGAGAGATGGGACCTCAAGGCACCTGGCACATGACAAGTATGTGATGCTGAAAAGTGTCTGTGATGACATGTCATAGGATGAAGCAGCTTAGTGCCCGGACAGGCCCCTTTCCTCCTCGTGGGGCTCTGAGCACTTGGGGTATCCTTGGTTGGTTCTGGGAGGGTAGAGGCCCTCAGAAGGGCTCCCATTGTGCTCCTGGGCCTGAGGGTGTGCAGTGTGTACAGGACTCCCTGGAAGGGCTCCCTGGGATGAAGGGCTTTTGGGGGCCTGTGGTCCTTCTCCAGCAAGAGTCACAAACCACATCCTCCACAGTCAGCAAGATGAAAACCGATTTGACCGAGACTGGCTCTTCAATGCGGTCTCCCGGGGTGTCCCTGAGGATCTGGCTGGACTTCCAGAGTACCTGCGCAAGACCAGCAAGTACCTCACTGACTCGGACTACACAGGTAGGCCCTGCCCTGTGGATCCAAGGCCTAGGCATCCTGTGAGCTGATAGTAAGGTGGGCTGTGTGGGCTTGATCCCTGGTCAGGAGCCAAGGAGTGAGTGTTCTCAGCAGCCCTCTGGCCGGAATGATTGCCAGGGGCCCTGTGGACAAAGCTAACCAGGGATGGCCTCCTGTTGGTCTCGGCTATGCCTCCCCCTTCCACCCACCCCTCAGGGCTCCTCTGCCACCCCTAGCCCATTGCAGTGGCTGAATGGAAACCCAAAGTAATCTTTTTCTTTAATAACAGTGTTATTGAGATATAATATATAATGCACATACGATACACTTAACCCATCTCAGGGCATTCTTTGCCCAAAATCTAAATATCCGTATTGTTTGGGCTGATTAGAAAAGTAACATGAGGACTCCAGAAGATTCAAACAGTGAGGAAACAGAGAGCCAAGGGTAAACACAGTCTCTCATCCTGGGCCCCTATTAATGGTTTGAGAATGCATCTGCTCAGACTTTCTTTCTTTCTTCTCTTTTATCTTTGGAGAGAGAGGGTTTTGCCATGTTGCCCAGGCTGACCTCAAACTCCTGGGCTCTGGTGATCCACCCACCTTGGTCCCCCGAAGTGCTGGGATTACAGTTGTGAGCCATGGTTCAGGGCCTGTTCAGTCTTTCTCAAAGCATCAGTATATATTTACATAAATGGGGTTATACTAATTTGTAATGTGCTTTTTCCTCCACTGACACATCTTGTAGCACTTTCCATTTCAGTGCATGTCTAACTCAATCACTTTGGCAATTGCAGAGTGAGTTTTCCATTGTGTCGTTGATCATAATTTAGGTAACCGATTCCTTATCGATGGCCATTTAGGTCGTTTGTCGTTTTTGGCTTCAACTAGCTGACTGCCAGGCCCTCTGTAGGCTAAGCTCTTGTTTATATTATTCTCTCTTTTTTTTTGAGGCAAGAGTCTTGCTGGAGTGCAGTGGCACGATCTCGGCTCACTGCAACCTCTGTCTCCTGGATTCAAGCAATGCTCTTGCCTCAGCCTCCTGAGTAGCTGGGATTACAGATGCCCACCAACGCACCTGGCTAATTTTTGTATTTTTAGTAAAGATGAGTTTTCACCATGTTGGCCAGGCCGGTCTCGAATTCCTGACCTTGTGATCCATTTGCCTTGGCCTCCCAAAGTGCTGTGATTACAGGTGTGAGCCACCATGCCTGGCCTTATATTATTCCCTTTGAACCTTACCATAACCCTGGAACATTCCCATTTTACAGTAAGAAAAATTGAGGTTAAGAGAGGCCACGTGACTTGCCAGAGGAGACAGAGACATTAAGTGGTGGAGTTATGTACAAATACTGCTCTGAATATTCTTGTGTAGACAGCATTTCACAAATGATGATGACTTATGTCTTAGAAACTTAGTTTCTAGGGCAAAAATTATAGTCATACTTGTTGGTATTTCTTTTCTTTTTTTTTGAAATGGAGTTTCACTCTTGTTGCCCAGGCTGGAGTGCAATGGTGCCATCTCGGCTCACCGTAACCTCCACTTCCTGGGTTCAAGCGATTCTCCTGCCTCAGTCTCCCAAGTAGCTGGGATTGCAGGCATGTGCCATCACGCCTGGCTAATTTTGTATTTTTTGTGGAGACAGGGTTTCTCCATGTTGGTCAGGCTGGTTTCGAATTCCCAACCTCAGGTGATCTGCCCGCCTTGGCCTCCCAAAGTGCTAGGATTACAGACATGAGCCACCGTGCCCATCCCAGTATTTCTTATCTGTTACTTGGAGCCTTAATATCTTATAACATGGTTGTGCTCCCACCAGTTGTGTGTAGCATCTCTTCGAATCCTCCCAAGGGGTACTTTGAGCTGGGTTTGCTATACCGAGCTATCAGGCAGCCCAGCCGCTCCTGGTCTCAGCACCACTGTGCCCCTGCCCCTCCCTTCTTCCCATAGAGGGCTCCACAGGGAAGACGTGCCTGATGAAGGCTGTGCTGAATCTTAAGGATGGGGTAAACGCCTGCATCCTGCCGCTGCTGCAGATCGACCAGCACTCTGGCAATCCTCAGCCCCTGGTAAGTGCCCAGTGTAAGGATGACTATTACCGAGGCCACAGCGCTCTGCACATCGCCATTGAGAAGAGGAGTCTGCAGTGTGTGAAGCTCCTGGTGGAGAATGGGGCCGACGTGCACGCCCGGGCCTGCGGGCGCTTCTTCCAGAAGGGCCAAGGGACCTGTTTTTATTTCGGTGAGTGGGCCTTTCTTGGATATATTGAAGGAAAGAGAGGGTAAATCTTTGTTCAAGGTCACACAGTTAGCATATGACAGAGCTGTGAGTTTAACCTAGGTCTGTCTGACCCCAACGCCCTGCTTCTGACCACTAGGCTGCCTACAAAAGCAGTTTGTCTTTTGCCCAGGCCAGCCTCAAACTCCTGGGCTCTAACAATTCTGCTCCTTAGCCTCTTGAGCTGGGGCTACAAGTGTGTGCCATTGCATCCAGCATTAATTTGTTGTAAGAGATGTTTCATCATTGTCTGGCCAGAGGATGGCATGCACCCAAACCCAGACCCAGGGAAGGGAGTAGTGGGCTACTAGCACTGGCGTGTGACTTGACCAGGCAGGGCCTGAATAAAGAGGCAGCGTGCCTGGACACTGGCAAAGGAGACAGCCAAAGTCAGGGGCGATGGGGACCTTGGGTGGCTGGTCCCTGTTCTGCTCCCTTCAGTGGTGAAGAAGCCTGACCTGCTTCAAGGAGCATGAGGAGTAGGCAGGTGGAAACCAGGAGGCCTGGGGCCCAAGCTGCTCTCTCGGCCTGCAGGTGAGCTACCCCTCTCTTTGGCTGCCTGCACCAAGCAATGGGATGTGGTGAGCTACCTCCTAGAGAACCCACACCAGCCTGCCAGCCTGCAGGCCACTGACTCCCAGGGCAACACGGTGCTGCATGCCCTGGTGATGATCTCGGACAACTCAGCTGAGAACATCACACTGGTGACCAGCATGTATGATGGACTTCTCCAAGCTGGGGCCCGCCTCTGCCCCACCGTGCAGCTTGAGGACATCCCCAACCTGCAGGGTCTCACGCCTCTGAAACTGGCTGCCAAGGAGGGCAAGATCCAGGTAAGTGGCTGTTCCCTTTCTGTCTCCCCTGTCCAGGAAGCAGTAGGTCTCACCCCGAACTTTCTGCAGAAAGAGTCTGGGGGTGACGAAGAGCAGAGGTTTCTCTGCTTTTCTTTTTTTTTTTTGAGACGGAGTTTCACTCTTGTTACCCAGGCTGGAGTGCAATGGTGCAATCTTGGCTCACCGCAACCTCCGCCTCCTGGGTTCAGGCAATTCTCCTGCCTCAGCCTCCTGAGCAGCTGGGATTACAGGCACGTGCCAGCTAATTTTTTGCATCTTTAGTAGAGACGGGGTTTCACCATGTTGACCAGGATGGTCTCGATCTCTTGACCTCGTGATCCACCCGCCTCGGCCTCCCAAAGTGCTGGGATTACAGGCTTGAGCCACCGTGCCCAGCCTGGTTTCTCTGCTTTTCAATGGAACACTCTTGTTAGTAAGAAAATGTTCAGTATGTACCTCTAATATATGTGTGTTTATTCATCATTTGTATATGAACTACTGAATTAATATTTTACATTATAAAACATTGGGAATTTTAAAAAGTCATTTGGGTTTCTTTATATCTGTTGCTTATTTTGCTATTAGATTTGGTCTTCTGTTTCTGTATATTTATTGATAACTTTATAATGAATTTAGTATTTTGTCTACTAAGACACTTTTAAAATTTCTCCTAGTTCATAATTTCTTTTTGAATTTTATAATTTTTTCCCACCCAGAATTTAAAAATTGTTAAATCTGCAAGTGTAATTATATTTTCCTTTAAGATTCCTTGGTTTTAAGCTGGGCACAGTGGCTCACACCTGTAATCCCAGCACTTTGGGAAGCTGAGGAGGGCGGATTAACTGAGGTCAGGAATTCGAGACCAGCCTGACCAATATGGTGAAACCCCAACTTTTTTTTTTTTTTTTTGAGACGGAGTTTCGCTCTTGTTACCCAGGCTGGAGTGCAATGGCGCGATCTCGGCTCGCCGCAACCTCTGCCTCCTGGGTTCAAGCAATTCTCCTGCCTCAGCCTCCCAAGTAGCTGGGACTACAGGCACACACCACCATGCCCAGCTAATTTTTGTATTTTTAGTAGAGATGGTTTTCACCATGTTGACCAGGATGGTCTCGATCTCTTGACCTCGTGATCCACCGCCTTGGCCTCCCAAAGTGCTGGGATTATAGGCTTGAGCCACCGCGCCCGGCCGAAACCCCATCTTTAAAAAAAAAAAAGATTCCTTGGTTTTGCTATTGTCTAATTCCTGCTATAAGATTATATATACAATATAAATCATATATACATAATGCGTTATGGCCATTGTACATTATAATATATAATTATATATAGTATATATAATCTTCATACACATTAGTTTCTTCCAAACTTTTGCAGCTGTATTTTCATTGCCGAGCTGGAAGTTATTCTGGTAGGAAGGGTTCACGTAACGGCCCCTACTTTGTTCCAAATAGCTTACCAATAGCTTACCAGGGCTGGCCTCATGGATGTACAGTGGAGATTTTTGAAAGGTTAAGGAAACAATAAACATAAATATAAGTTTTTTTTTTTTTTTGAGATGGAGTCTCACTCTGTCACCCAGACTGGAGTGCAGTTGGCTCACAGCAACCTCTGCCTCCCAGGTTCAAGCAATTCTCCTGCCTTAGCCTCTCAGGTAGCTGGGATTACAGGTGTGCACCACCACACCTGGCTAATTTTTGTATTTTTAAGTAGAGATGGGGTTTCACCATGTTGGTCAGGCTGGTCTCAATCCCCTGACCTCATGATCCACCTGCCTCAGCCTCTGAAAGTGCTGGGATTACAGGTGTGAGCCACTGCACCCGGCTCATAAATAGAAGTTTTAACCCTTTTTCACTACCCTCTCAAGTAACTTGGAGTGCTTCCTGGGGCATGAGAATCTCACTTTTTTGTCTAGAGGCTCTGCTGTGTCGTGACCTATGACAGCAGTCCCCTGCTCTGTTCCTCCTTTCCCATTCCTCATGTGTAAAACCAGATTCCTTTCTAAACTGTTCTGATTGGGGACCCCTCTCTAGTCTGTTGAAGACTCTGGGCTCTGAACACAAAAGTGCACACACAGATACAGCAAGTAGATTCTGATCTCAGGGGCCTCAACAACCCCAGGGCTAAGGATCTCTCTGTCATTTGAGGAGTTCAGGGAAGAGGGCCGTGGGATTGGGGATGGGAGGGAAGAACCAGGCTGGCTGGCAGGCTGGGGCATATGTGACTGGGTGTGTGTGTAAGAGTTTGGACACACAAGGACCTGCGTGTACAGGGGCACGTGCACGTGTCAGCTGCAGCTCTGCATATTGTGGGCAGCTGCAGGGTCCTGGGTGTTTGCCAGCCTTGGCCCAGGATCAGTGTCGGGAGGGGACTGTGAAGGCGAGCTCACATGACCACCTTGCAGATTTTCAGCCACATCCTGCAGCGAGAGTTCTCAGGACCGAGCCAGCGCCTTTCCAGAAAGTTCACGGAGTGGTGCTATGGGCCTGTCCGGGTGTCGCTGTATGACCTGGCTTCTGTGGACAGCTGGGAAGAGAACTCGGTGCTGGAGATCATCGCCTTTCATTGCAAGAGCCCGGTGAGCCCACAGCAGCATGGGTGCATGTAGAGGACCCAGCAGAGCTCCCAGCAAGGTCCACAAATTGGGGCTGCCTGCTGGACCATATCTGTCCCATTCCTGGGCCAGTGGGGGTGTGGCTGTATGTCCCAGCAGGCATGAACTTGATCATGGCCCCTGGGCCCACACTCAATTCACACTCCAGTCTCATCCAGCATGGGGATCATGCCAAGGGCCTTGTGGCAGCCATCCAGGTCCCCTCTGTTAACCAGCATCTCCTTTGGAGGGCAAGGACCCTCCATCACACTGTAGTTGGGAGGGTTGGGTGAGGTCCTTCGGGGCTCCTGGGGTGTGGAAGCCTGCTCCCTGTCCTCTCTTCTCCATTTTCTGGGCTCTTGCTCTGATCCTGACATGGAGTGGGCAGCCTATCTGCACTGCTGAATGTACCCCCGGCTTTCCCCTCCCCACCCAGCACCGACACCGAATGGTGGTTTTGGAGCCCCTGAACAAACTGCTGCAGGAGAAATGGGATCTGCTCATCCCCAGGTTCTTCTTAAACTTCCTGTGTAATCTGATCTACATGTTAATCTTCACCACCGTTGCCTACCATCAGCCTGCCCTGAAGAAGGCAAGGGCAGGGCTGGGGGGGTGCACATCTTGGGGGAGGTCTGCTTGAAACAACCCTGGGGGAAGATGGGACAGGGATAGTGCTGAGGCATGGGCTGCTGGAGTGACATGCGCGAGCTTTTGGGAGCCAGCATCCTGGTACTAACGCGGATACAGTAAAGATTTGCTGAGTGCTCACCGTATGTGAAAAAGGATTCCAGGTGATGGACGTGTGTTGACTAATTAATGTTCCCAACAACCCCTGAGATGATGAACTATTATCACCCCAGTTTATAGTAGAGGGAGGGGAGGTACAGAGAGGTTAAGTAACTTGCCCAGGGTCACACAGGCTGGAAGTGGTGTGGAGAGAGAAACTGAATCCAGGCAGTCTGGGCTCAGACCCAACACTCAAATGCTACACAATGTGCTTCTCAGAATCCAGGGGACCTTCCCTGGAGCCCATGTTTCCCTGCTGTTCTGAGGGGCCTCTCCACACGCAGGCTCAGAGTGGGTCCTCAGCTTTAGCTCTTAAGGGTGAACTGTTTGAGAGAGGACCCAAGGCCCTGGGTCTCATCTGAGTGTGTCTTCAGCAGGCTGACTCCCACCTGAAAGCAGAGGTTGGAAACTCCATGCTGCTGGCGGGCCACATCATTATCCTGCTAGGGGGGCTCTACATCCTCGTGGGCCAGGTGAGTGCTCCTCCCCTTCTCCCACCAAGAAGCAAACCTAGAATTCTGCCTCAGGGGGTTTAGAGCAAGTTACCTGCATCCCCTCACCTATAAAACCCAGTCCCACCCAGAGCAACCAGCCTCACCACAGCTGAGGGCCAGAGGTTCTGGCCTTGCCTTCTGAGGCCCCGAGACCCCTCTGCTATGCTCTTGGGGTTCCTTCGGGTAGCAGATGGCTTCTCTGATTCCTTGGCAGTACAGGCTCTGCTCCCCAAGGAATGGAGCTGGAAGCCCCTGCCCCAGCCAGGACCCTCAGCTGGGACATTCCCTTCTTGGGGAGCACAGAGCCAGGGGTGGGTGGGGCTCAAGCTAATTTCCCCAGTAAGGTCTCTTCAGTGGGAAATGCTGTAAGCCTGCAGGACACAGGCTGGACACCGAGACATTGGGACCTCCTCAGAGTGGGCAGAACATGGGCACCAAAGCCAGGTTGGCTGGGGTATGGGTGGTCCCTGTGAAGCCGGGGAGAAGGGAAGGGAAAGGCGCTCTCCCCCTTCCTCCATGCAGTATGCAGGCTCTTCATCTGCACCCCTTGGCCTTAGTGGCTGCTCTTTCTGGAAAGAGAGTCCCAACCTATCTCAGCTATCAGAAGTATTTATGAGTCCCCCAAAACCAAGCTGCTGACTTAGCCCTAGCCGGGGGGCAGGCTCCCACTCAGCCAGGCCAGCAGGGAGCGTGCAGGAGAGCAGGTTTCACAGCCCTCTGTCCTTCCTTCCTCTGCAGCTGTGGTACTTCTGGCGGCGCCACCTGTTCGTCTGGATCTGGTTCATAGACAGCTACTTTGAAATCCTCTTGTACGTGGGTCTCACTCCTCCTCCCCTCAACTGTCTCTGAGGTCTGGAAGGGGCAAGTGTGGCAGAAGGCACCAGGTTGGCTTTAGAGGCAAGGACATGGGGCCCAGGAAGTCGGGACCTGTGTACAGGCCAGACCCAGGAGTCTGCAGTGCTGTCCAGCCTGGGGCCCTTTGTGCTGCCATCATTGTAGATGGGGATAGTGACATTTACCAGGCCTCACCACACACCTGTTTCACTTAGTCCTTGAAAACACTCTATGAGTCAGGCATCATTATTATTGTGCCCATTTGACAGTGGGAGGGAACTGAGGCCCACAGAGGTCAAATGTCTTGCCTAAGATGGAGGTCAGGCCAGGCCAGTGGGGGCTCAGGGAGCCAAGTACCAGCAAGCCCACCTGGATCCTGTTCCCATATAGCCTTCTCCAGGCCCTGCTCACAGTGCTGTCCCAGGTGCTGTGTTTCCTGGCCATTGAGTGGTACCTGCCCCTGCTTGTGTCTGCGCTGGTGCTGGGCTGGCTGAACCTGCTTTATTATACCCGTGGCTTCCAGCACACAGGCATCTACAGTGTGATGATCCAGAAGGTGAGAGAAGGGGGTGGCCCGGTGGGACTCTTTTGGCTTCATAAGGCCAGAGCCTTCTTCCACAGCTAACCTAGGCAGAGGAGAGCATGTGTACATCTGCCTGCCTGCCAGCACCCAGACACTTGCTGGATGGAAGCTTAAGTACAGGCATGCACATGCCTCTCTCAGGGCTCTGCAGGCACATGCAAACACGTGCACATACATGTGTTTTCAGGTGTCCACATGGGACCATGTGCATCCTTCCACATGCAAGGAGCAGAGAATATATGCATAAGCTCATCTGAGTGTCTGTGTCCTGGGATGTGCGGGCATGTAACTGCATTCATCTCTATATTCGTGTTTAGGGAATGCCTACTGTGGGCTGGGCCCTGTTCTACGTGATGGGAATATAGCAGAGAACAAAACATGTCCTTGCTTCCCTGAAGCTGAAGTTCTAGTGGGAGGAAATGAAAACCTTAAGAAAACAACTAAACAACTAAGAACATTCCACACTGCTATTTTTTCTTTCTTTGAGACAGAGTTCACTCTTGTTGCCCAGGCGGGAGTGCAGTGGTGCAATCTCGGCTCATTACAACCTCCGTCTACCAGGTTCGAGTGATTCTCTGTCTCAGCCTCCCGAGTAGCTGGGATTACAGGCATGCGCCACCATGCCCAGCTAATTTTTGTATTTTTAGTAGAGACGGGTTTCACTATGTTGGTCAAGTTGGTCTCGAACTCCTGACCTCAGGTGATCCGCCCACCTCAGCCTCCCATAGTGATGGGATTACAGGCGTGAGACACCACACCTGGCTTAAATTTTGTGAAGGAAATGCACAGGACACTGTGATGGAGAATGGCTGGGACCAAGTACCCTTTAGATGGGATGGTCTGGAAACCCTCTCTAAAGAAGGGATATGGCCAGGTGCAGTGGCTCAGGCCTACAATCCCAGCACTTCGGGAGGCCGAGGTGGGCAGATCACGAGGTCAGCAGTTCGAGACCAGCCTAACATGGTGAAACCACGTCTCTACTAAAAATACAAAAATTAGCTGGGTGTGGTGGCACGTGCCTGTAATCCCAGCTACTCAGAAGGCTGAGGCAGGAGAATCACTTGAACCTGGGAGGCAGAGGTTGTAGTGAGCCAAGATCGTGCCATTGCACTCCAGTCTGGGCGACAGAGCGAGACACCATCTCAAAAAGTAAATAAATAAATACATAAAAATAGATAAATAAATAAAGAGGGGATGTTTAAGTTAAGACCTGAAAGAATGATTGAGCCACTGTAGGGTGGAGGAGGAAATATTCTCAACAGAGGGCACAGCAATGGCTGTCGTGAGCCAGAAGCAGCTTGGGGTGCTTGGGATAAGGCGAGGAGGCTGGGTGGATGGGGAGATGGCAGGAGGGTGGAGGTAAGGAGGTTGGGAGGAAGGGAAGGACCAAGTCTCTGTCCATGGGGAAGGGGTTGGAGTCCCCAGAGACTTTTTTAAAAAAATTGTAGTAAAATACACTTAACACAGAAGTTAAATTTTTTTTTTTTTTTTTTTGAGATGGAGTCTTACTCTTACTGCCCAGGTTGCTGGAGTGCAATGGCACCATCACGGCTCACTGCACCCTCCTCCTCCTGGGTTCAAGTGATTCTCCTGCCCACCACCATGTCTGGCTAATTTTTGTATTCTTATTTATTTTTGAGACAGAGTCTTGCTCTGTTGCCCAGGCTGAAGTGCAGTGGTGTGATCTCGGCTCATTGCAACCTCCGTCTCCCAGGTTTAAGTGATTCTCCTGTCTCAGCCTCCTGAGCAGCTGGGATTACAGGCATGCATCACCACATCCAGATAATTTTTATATTTTTAGTAAAGACAGGGTTTTACCATCTTGGCCAGGCTGGTCTTGAACTCCTGACCTCAGATGATCTGCCCGCCTTGGCCTCTCAAAGTGCTGGGATTACAGGCCTGAGCCACTGCACCCAGCCAATAATTTTTGTATTTTTAGTAGAGACAGAGTTTCACCATGTTGGCCAGGCTGGTCTCAAACTCCTGGCCTCAGGTGATTGGCCTGTCTTGGCCTCCCAAAGTGCTGGGATTACAGGCATGAGCCACTGTACCTGGCCCATTTTAACCATTTTTTAAAAGAATGTAGCTAGGCCAGGCGTAGTGGCTCACGCCTGTAATCCAAGCACTTTGGAGGCCAAGGTGGGTGGATCACCTGAGGTCGGGAGTTCAAGACCAGCCTGACCAACATGGTGAAGCCCTGCCTTAAAAAAAAAAAAAAAGTATGCAGCTAAGTGTCATTAAGTACATTCACACTGTTGTATACCCTCCATCACCACCATCCATCTCCAGAACTTTCTTGTCATCTCAAGCTAAACAACTCCCCATTCTCGCCTTCCTTCAGTCCCTGGAAACCACCATTCTACTTTCTGTTTTTATGAATTTGACGACCCTAGCTACATCATATAAGTGAAATCATACAGTATTTGTTCTTTTATATCTGGCTTATTTCACTTAGTAAAATGTCCTCAAGGATCAGCCATGTTGTAGCATGTGTCAGAAATCCCTTCCTTTTTTGGGGGTGGGGGATGGAGTCTGGCTCTGTCACCCAGGCTGGAGTGTAGTGGCACAATCTCAGCTCACTGTAACCTCCACCTCCCGGGTTCAAGTGATTCTCCTGCCTCAGCCTCCTGAGTAGCTGGGACTACAGGCGTGTGCCACCAAGCTCAGCTAATTTTTAATTTTTTGTATTTTTAGTAGAGACGGGATTTCACTGTGTTGGCCAGGTTGGTTTTGATCTCCTGACCTCGTGATCTACCTTCCTCAGCCTCCCAAAGTGCTGGGATTACAGGTGTGAGCCACTGGAGCCACTGTGCCCAGCTTTTTTCTAAATTGCATTTTAGTTTTGGGGTACATATGAAGAACATGCAAGATTGTTGCATAGGTACACACATGGCAGTGTGATTTGCTGCCTTCCTTCCCATCACCTATATCTGGCATTTCTCCCCATGCTGTCTCTCCCCAACTTCCCACCCCACACTGTTTTTTTTTTGTTGTTGTTGTTGTTGTTTTTTTGTTGGAGTCTCACTCTGTCGTCCAGGCTGGAGTGTAGTGATGATCTCGGGTCATTGCAATCTCTGCCTCTTAGGTTCAAGCGATTCTTCTGCCTCAACCTCCTCAGTAGCTGGGACTACAGGCATGTGCCACCATGCCTGGCTAATTTTTTGTATTTTTAGTAGAGATGGGGTTTTGCCATGTTGGCATTCCATCACCCAGGCTAGAGTGTGATGACACGATCATAGCTCATTGTAGCCTTGACATTCTGGGTGCAAGCAATCCTCTTGCCTCAGCCTCCCAAGTAGCTGGCACTGTAGGCTTGTGCCATCATGCCCAGCTACCGGAGAGTTTGAAGCAGGAAAACAATGTGATCTGAGATACATTTTAAAAAGATTCCTCTGCTCAGTGTGTCTCTGCAGGGCCCACATATGCACACTGTGTGTGTGTATGTGCAGTGTACATGGGAACGAGGCTGCAGTGGATGAGCAGGGGTCTGGGGTCATGCCTGGTGGCCCAGCTACCCACCCTGGCCCCTGGGCCCATGTGTTTCAGGTCATCCTGCGGGACCTGCTCCGCTTCCTTCTGGTCTACTTAGTCTTCCTTTTTGGCTTCGCTGTAGGTAAAGGCTCCCTCCGGTCCCCTCCCCATTCCCCGAGTCCCTTGTCCACCCTGTATACCCTCAAGGCTGCCTGCAGGTCTCCTGGGCTGAGGACCCCTCTCTCTCCATCCCATAGCCCTGGTGAGCCTGAGCCAGGAGGCTTGGCGCCCCGAAGCTCCTACAGGCTCCAATGCCACAGAGTCACTGCAGCCTGTGGAGGGACAGAAGGACAAGGAGAACACGTCCCCGTATGGGAACATCCTGGAAGCCTCCTTGGAGCTCTTCAAATTCACCATTGGCATGGGCGAGCTGGCCTTCGAGGAGCAGCTGCACTTCCGCGGCATGGTGCTGCTGCTGCTGCTGGCTTATGTGCTGCTCACCTACATCCTGCTGCTCAACATGCTCATCGCCCTCATGAATGAGACCGTCAACAGCGTCGCCACAGACAGCTGGAGCATCTGGAAGCTGCAGGTGCCACCAGGGAGGCTCCCTGCCCCCACCCTACCCCACACTCAGACAGTGGGGAGTGCTCGGGACCCTGTGGAGCTGGGCCTTCCCTAGCCAGAGGCTGCCAGGTTGGGCAGCTCTACTTTGTCAGAGTCTTTCACCTCCTTTTTTTTTTTAATTTTTTTTATTTTTTTATTTTTTCCCCTTGAGACAAGGTCTTGCTCTGTCACCCAGGCTGGAATGCAGTGGTGTGATCACAGCTCAATGCAGCCTCAGTCTCCTGAGCTCCAGTGATCCCTCTTCCTCAGCTTCCTGAGTAGCTGGTATTACAGGCACAAGCCACCACACTCAGCTAATATTTTTATTTTTTGTAGAGAAGGGGGCCTCTCTATGTTGCCCAGTCTGGTCTTGAACACCCAGCCTCAGGTGATCCTCCCACCCCAGCCTCCTGAAGTGCTAGGATTACTCCCTCCTCCTTTAAGAAGCTCATAGATGTACTCAGGACAGCTGGGTGTCGTGGCTTCTGCCTGTAATCCTAACACTTTGGGAGGCCGAGGCAGGCGGATTGCCTGAGCTCAGGAGTTTGAGACCAGCCTGTGCCACACAGTGAAAGCCCGTCTCTACTAAAATACAAAAAATTAGCCAGGTGTGGCAGCGTGCACCTTTAGTCCCAGCTACTTGGGAGGCTGAGGCAGGAGAATTGCTTGAACCTGGGAGGCAGAGGTTGCAGTGAGCCCAGATCACGTCAGTGCACTCCAGCTTGGGTAAGAGTGAGACTCTGTCTCAAAAAAAAAACAAAAAGATGTACTCAGGATAGTCCCCCACACGTAGTAGGTGCTCAGTGTGCCACCAGCTACTATTACCATCATTGTTGACCAGTGTTTCTTTTCTTTTTTTTTTTTTTTTTTTCTGAAATGGAGTTTCACTCTTGTTGCCCAGGCTGGGGTGCAATGGAGCAATCTTGGCTCACTGCAACCTCTGCCTCCTGGGTTCAAGCGATTTTCCCGCCTCAGTCTCCCAAGTAGCTTGGATTACAGACATGTGCCACCCCGCCCCACAATTTTTTTGTATTTAGTAGAGACAGGGTTTCACCAGGTTGGTCAGGCTGGTCTTGAATTCCTGACCTCAGGTGATCCACCCCCTTCGGCCTCCTAAAGTGCTGGCATGAGTCACTGTGCCCCACCCAGCTGTCAATTCATTGTTGATCTTGGGGAAGCCCCTTATCTCCTCTGAGCCTTGGTGCCCTCCTCTGCAAAGTTCTGTGCCCCACCTGAGTCACTGGCATGCCTCTGGGAAGGCACATGTGTGGGGCTAGCAAATGAAATTCTGTTCCTGGTGGTGTGGCAATCTGGAGTCTGGAACGATGTCAGAGCAAGTAGCTGTCAAGTACTTATGACGTACTGACTTCCCATCAACTGTCTGAGGCACTTTCTCCTCAGTCTACAAAATGAGGAAACTGAGGTGCAGAGAGGCTGAGGGCCCAATGCCACGAATCTGCATGTTTAGTTGACTTCGGGTTAAACTGTGAAGTGCTGCGGGGCACCTTCCTGCTCCCTTTGCCCTGTGTGCCTCTGCCCCCATGAAGGGTCCCAGGTTGTTCTGTCTGATACATCCTTTGTCCCCAGAAAGCCATCTCTGTCCTGGAAATGGAGAACGGCTACTGGTGGTACAGGAAGAAGCAGCGGCGGGCAGGCGTGATGCTGACCGTTGGCACTAAGGCAGATGACAGCCCCGATGAGCGCTGGTGCTTCAGGTGAGTGAGGGGCAGGAGGGTCTCTGGGGGCAATCCCTGGGGCCCCCTGCAGTGCAGGGCACAGCACTGCCAGGAACCAGGTCTGGTGGGAAGGGCGGGCCCAAAGAGCACCAGGGACTGAGCCGAGCAGGTGAGGTCAGGGGTCTGGGTCTTACAAGCCACGGCTGCCACTGTCTGTGGTTTTGCCTGCCTAGCCATCTGCCTGTCCCAGTGGTTTAAACTGAAGTTTCCTTCCTGGTGATCTCAGACTCCTCCTTCTGCCTGAAATGTGGTACAGTAAGGAGGAGGCCAAGAAGTCAGAGGGACCCTTGGGTTCCCAGCACTCTAGCCTTGCCCTGGCTGCTCTGTCTTCTCAGCCCCAATTCTGCCAGCCTAATTGCGGAGCTACAACCCGTTCCATGGAGAACATGCCCTTCTGTGTCCAGGAAAGGCTGGGACACTGGGAGAGGGAACCTAGTGACAAACACACAGCTGAAAACAGACACTGCTGTGAGGCAGCAGATGAGCTGAGTGATGGTCTTAGACATGTGGAGCAGCTGTGAAAGGCCCTAGAATCTGGGAGCACAGATACACCTGATCTGAATTCCTCTTCTTTGGTTGCTCTGGGCAACCTAGGCTGCTGTCAACAGTCAGAAGGGGTGGATGCTGATTTCTGCAAGTGGGCACCTGCCTCACAGGACAGGGCTCCAAGGGGATGGCCCAGAACCCTGCAGAGAGAAAGCCTGTCCTCCTCAGGGTCTCTGTGTCCACTAGAGCAGGTCCTTCTCCGGGGTGGGGGTGGGTGGTCCAAGCAGGCAAACGTTGGCTGCTCTGTTGCCCTCAGGGTGGAGGAGGTGAACTGGGCTTCATGGGAGCAGACGCTGCCTACGCTGTGTGAGGACCCGTCAGGGGCAGACGTCCCTCGTGAGTAGCGTGGTGACTGGAGCCTCTGCCCTGGGTGTGTGTGTGTGTCTCTGCTGCTTGGCCGCAAAGCCTTGGAGAGTCTGGGGCGGGACCCAGAGACCTCCTGTTGGTCACTTTGCAGCTCCCCGCATGCCAGCTCCTCTTACAGGGATGTCTCCTTAAAACTGTGTTGCTCTCCTATCCTTTCCACCCCCATCCTGCTTTCAGGCAGGAACTGGGGAAAACCTCTGAGGCTGTTAGCGCTTCCACCAGCCCAGCCTCCAGCTGCCCTCTCTCCGATGCCAGTCAGTTGCACCCTTTGCCCATTCAATTGGTTATTGAGGGTCTGCCCCCAGCCATGCCTGGTCTGAGCCTGGGGACACAGCAGGGGAATAAATTAGGAAGGGCTGTGTCACAGCCCAGCCCACTATACAGGCAGCATCTCCCTGGGCCCTCAGAGTCACTGCCCTGCACAGGTCCCCAGCCCCTTCACACCCCAAGTCCCCCACCTCTGAAAAACCACTTCCCACGCCTCCCCCACTTCCCATGGCCAGTGTCCTTTCCATTCTATTGTAGTGAGAGCCCCTCCCGTCCCTACCCTGCTGCCTCCACCAAGACCAGTTCCTTTCTCTCACCCTCAGACGCCTGTTCTGAGGATTAGCTCTCTCCACTGCATACCCTTTCTTTCTAGAACCTTCAATAGCTCCCACCTTCCACTGGTTCACCTCCTCTTTCTCCTTCTGTTCCCTGACAAATTTCATCTGCTCGTGCCTGTCACCTCCCACAACAGCCTCCTGAGTCGCCCATGGCCCCTGCTGTAGGGAGGCTCCTCTGGCCTCTTCTGCTGGTTTCCCAGGCTCCCGGGCATAGGCTTCCTTTCACCCTCTCTTTGTATCTCCCTCCCTTTACTGCAATGCCAGGAGAGTCACCTTGTCCCTCCCTCATCTTGCCCCAAGCACTGCATACCCCACTGCCTGCTGGGGCCTCCAATCTGACACTCCCAACAGGTGCAGCCTTGGGGCTGCCCCAGCAGGTCACATGTATATTACCCCAACCCCTCCTCACCCAGGTGGGAGGCCTTGAGAGTCTTGGCCTATCCCCCGCGTACCAGCTTTCCCACCTGGAGCTGAGAGTCCTTGACCTCTCAGGGGGCCACTCATCCCTCTGCCCTGCCTCTTACTTTTGCTTCTGCACCACTGCAGGGCAGCCCAGCCTGTACCCTTATCCCATTCCAGTCCTGCTAATGTGAACAAAAGCTACACACAGCCTCCCACTGCCTGGAAGGCCACACTCCTCAGTGGAGCTCAGGGCCTGAAGCTGTTGTCTAACCCACTCCCACACCCCCATCCATGTGTCTGCAGTGCTCCTTGTTCTTTGCTTTCCTTAGTTCTCCGGATTCATCTGTCAGAAGTGCTCTTTCTCCCCTCTGGGTGTCCAAATCCACCACCTCCCCTGTGGGATGGGTCCCCTCTCCTCTGAGCTCCACCAACATGTCTCAGGTGTTCTGGTCTCTGACACACAAGCCTGTCACCTCCAGGCGCTTTAAACTCCTAGGGGTGGCAGGGGCTGGGGGGTGGGGGGAAGACCCTGACAAGGCAGGGGATTGGGAAATGCTTCTGGAATGAGGGAAGCAGGGAGAGGGATTGCTGGCCTCCAGGATCACTGAGGCTGTCCCCACGGCATGACATGTTTTCATGACTGTGGCCCCTTCTGTTTCCCTGGTGCCTGCTTCCTGGGGACACACTGAAGGGTTAAGCCACAGTGCTTGCCATCTGTTTACAGGAACTCTCAAGAACCCTGTCCTGGCTTCCCCACCCAAGGATGAGGATGGTGCCGCTGAGGAAGACCATGTGTCCCTCCAGCTCCTCCAGTCCAGCTGATGGCCAGATGCAGCAGGAGCCTGAGGACAGAGCAGGGGGTCTTTCTAGCCACACCTGCTGGCTCTGAGATTCCAGTGAATTCTGGTGGCAAATATATTTTTTCCCAAACTAACTCTTCTGGAAACATTATTTGAGCAGAGTTGCTGGGACCCTTAAAGCTGGTTATGTTCAGATGTCTCTGTGTGCACAGGTCGGTGTATGGGACTAGGTTGCTCCTGCCCTTGCCTGGGCACAGAGACCCTCAGCTGCTGTGTCCCCATCCTTACCCCCATGTCCCCAAGTCTGGGGACTGTCCTCTACCTGGTTACAGGCAGCTGGTCGAGGTGCTGTGCTCACTGTTGTGGCAGATATATGGTGGTGGACATGGGCAAACACAGCCACCTCTCCTTTCTCCACCACGACACGCTTTGCTTCCCACAACCACCCTGCTTTCGGGCAGGCACCTGGGAAGACCCGTTAAAGCCACCTCTCTTGCATTCTCTTCTTACTGGGCTTCTTGCTCATCTTCCACCCCTCCCGAGCCATTCTCTGCAGGGCAGCCAGAGGGGCCTTCCTAAGACACAAGACAAACATGTCATCTTTGTGCTCTGAAGGCTTGAGAGGCTCCCCAGTACCACAGAATGCCCTAGCTGGCATCCCAAGACCCCCAAGGTTTTGCCCAAGCATTTCCGGACACCTCCTCCCTCCACCTGTTGCCCCGCCCTCTTTAGCACTCTCCCCAAATTCATGCAAGCCAAGAGACCTCGTGCTTGATCCCTTGACCTGGCTCTTGCTGGAAGCTCCTCACCTACATTAAAACCCTACACTTATTTCTGAGGTCAGCTCAAAAGGTCTTATGATTGCCTTCCCAGTTTTTTGCAGTCAAAATGAATTTCTCTCCCGTGGTATAACCGTGTGTGTGCAAAAGGTGTTTGCATGGATTATTTTCCAAGGAGAGCTTAGCATGTTCATAGGCTGAAAGGAAAGCCTCAGTAGAGAGTTTTTCATGGAAGGTGAGACAGGGACATAGGTGAAAGAGGCCCCAGGGGAACGAGAGAAGAAATGAGGTGGGCAGAGCTTTGCCCCAGAGGCGAGGAGAGGATGGACTTGGATCCAGGTAAGACGTCCGCTCGTTCCTTAAAGGTCGTGCTAAAGAGTGATAAGGGTGGTCAGTGCGTGGGGGTTTGATACGTGGATACGGTAAAATAGCTGTGGTGAGAGTATTTGGCGACCCTCAATAGATTCGGGAAGAGCTACTAGGATGAATGCTTGCCGGGTGCCAAAACTCTATAGGGTTTCACGTGTGTTATCTCACGTGATCTTCTGGGGCGCGGGTGTCTAGGTTTTCCAGACCAATCGGAAGCTGACAGAGGATGAGTGATTGGCCCAAGACCACCCAGCTGGGGAGTGGAGGAGGCGGGGCCCAAAAACCGCGCTCCAGCCCTCGCGCAGGCGCCCTGGAACTCGCCGCGCTTCTTGAGACCCAGAATTCCCGGGGCTGTGGAAGAGACCATAGGCTAAACAGGAGGGGGAGCCCTGGGTAGCGCGGCAGGCTGTATCGTTACTTGGCGGAAAGTTCCTGTGAGTCTTTGCCAGCGTCCCCCTCCTTTTGTGAGGAATGGGATATTCCGACTCCTTAAGGGCCTGGGTTGCGGAATGTGCGACCCTTTCGCTCCATTTGTCATGTAGGTAGGCTCGCTAGGTATCGGGGAATGGTGGTTAGGGGCAAGAGCAAATAAAGAGCTCGAGCTTTAGTGGTTTCTGGGGAGATGTTCCCGGAAAGCCTGGCTAGAGGGCGAGGGCAGCTGTTGAGATGGCGTGGCTCCCCGGCTCTGGCGCCCACGTGGCCTTCGCGGCGGGCGCCGCGGCCAGGTGTTGGGCAGCCTGGCAGGGCAGCGCGGGGTCGAATACGGCGGCCGTGGCTGAGTCTAATGGATCACGCTTGTGGCAGGGCCACAGTTGGAAGAGCCTGAAGTCTGCGACCCGGTTCTTAGGCCCGCCACGGACAGTGTGCAAACCCGAGAGAACAGGGTAAGTTGGGGTTGGCCTCCCGTTAGGGGTACTCCTAGGGCGGTGTACGACGGTAAGATTGAAATGCTATTACTGGAAGACTTACTCGACTGTCGTGATGATACTTGTAATAGGAAGTGCCGTCAGAAGCGATAACTGACGAAAGCTACTCTTGTCTGATTGCAGTCAAGTCTAAACCTCTTGCTGGATTCCAGGAGTAAACTTGTCTGAACGGTGACCTAATTGCTATCTGTATTCACCTAGGTTGCAGATTCGTGAAGGATTCCTCAGCACGTTTGGCAGCTAAGTATTGGAGCCAGGAGCCTTCCATGAGGTAAGCCTTGGTCTGCTGGGAGGCTAGTGGTTGATAATGCCTAGCTGTCAGGTCGAATATTGGCAGTTGGATTTGGTTAACCTAATAACCTTGTGACAGTGTAGCCTATCCCAGAATTACTGATTTTGGTTTCTGGTGGCATTGGAGCCAGGGTGGAAGAGCTAGAAAGAGAAGTTGCTCTTTTTACCTCTTGGCTGTTTAGTCTTAAGCAAATTATCTGTCTGCTAAGATGCAGTTTTCCTCATTAGTGAAAAAGAAAAGTAATCTTAGGTTTGTGAAGTTAAAAGTGATGCAACTAAACTGTAGATTACAACTCACCTGTGGCTGGGGGCGGTGGTCTGTAATCCCAGCACTTTGAGATCTGGGAATACTAGCTAAGGGCAAGAGCAAGTAAAGTGCTTAAGCTTTTATGGTTTCTGGGGAGATGATCCCAGAAAGCCTGGCTAGAGGGTGGAGGGTAGCTGTTGAGATGGCGTGGCTCCCTGGCTCTGGCGTCCACGTGGTCTTTGTGGCCGGCACTGTGGCCTGGTGCTGGGCAGCCTGGCAGGGTAGTGCGGAGCTGAATCTGGCTGAGGCAGAGGGGAGTGGGTCACCTGAGGTCAGGAGTTCAAGACCACCTTGGCCAACATGGTAAAAACCCATCTCCACCAAAAATTTGCCAGGTGTGGTGGCGTGCACCTGTAATCCCAGCTACTTGGGAGGCTGAGCTAGGAGAATCGCTTGAACCTGGGTGGCAGAGGTTGCAGTGAGTTGAGATCCTGCCACTGTACTCCAGCCTGGGCAACAGCGAGACTCATCTCAAAAAAAAAAAAAAAAAAAAAAATTACAGCGCCCCCCCCCCAGAAGCTAATTAAGATTTGTAGTTCTCAATAATTTGTAAAAAAATTACCTCTAATAAGGTCTTAAAGGGCTTTTGTTAGGATGGACATTAATATGTAAAGTCATAATTGACGCTGTCATCAGAAATGCCTTTTCTGCTCTGCATCTGCAGTCTCTAAGATGTGTGTACTTTCTCCATTCCCCCAGGTTTTGAGAATGGACTGCAATTTTAGGGCTGGTGGCAGCATCTCAGCCCAAGAGGAGGTAAGCATTGGAGCTAGCCAATGACCCCCCCACCCCACAGTGGAATAAATAAACAGCTGATCTTGTTAAAACTTACTTGAAGAAAAAGATATCAAATGATGAAATCACCCAAAATAGCTGGAATTACCGGCAGATTGTGTAGTGGTGAACCTACGGTTTTCTGAGGATATCTCTTACCCTGTGAATGACTGTTAGTTGGTGCAGAAAGTGAGATTGAAATGTAGTTTCTTTGCAGGTTATATTCCCAGATGATGTCAGTCCCAAGGACCAGTAGCTGCGATCAATTTGGATTCTGAAACCTTATTAACGGGCTTCAACATTGGATGTAGAAACATGCTTGCCTTGCATATCAGAGGACATGCTCAGCAGATCCAAGAGATATATTTGGCAAATTTTTCTAGACAAGGCACATTGGGTATCATTACATTCTTGAGTTTTTTGGGTTTTGAGACAGTCTTGCTCTGTTGCCCAGGCTGGAGTGTGGTGGCACAATCACAGCTCATTGTAGCCTCAATCACCCAGGCCTCAGCAAGCCTCCTGCCTCACAGCTGGGACTCCAGCTCACACCACCACACCTGGCTCATTAAAAACAATTTTTTAGTTGAGACGGATTCGCTATGTTGCCCAGGCCAGTCTCAAGCTGCTGGGCTCAGATGATCGTCCTGCCTCAGCCTCCAAAGGCTCAGGCCAAGTTCTACCTTTGTCCTTTGCCATCCTGCCCAACAGGATGGTCTTTCCATTTTTTTAATGAATGGACTTTCATGAATAAGTTATGTTGGGGGGGGGGCGGCCAAGTCCTTTAAGCTGGAAATTGTAAATTCCTCCTGAAATGTTTTCATGCTGTTACCATGAACTAATACTACAATAAAGGATGGTCTTTGGTATTGATTCTTAAAAATGTGTATTTGAAGAAAAAGCAAATTTCGCCTACTATTGTCAGATATTAGCAGTCCAGATGTTAGCGCTATAGGTTGTAAACTTCCCTGTGGTCAGCCTAAGCTCTTAACCCCTATTACACAGCTTTAGACTGGAGGCAACAATTCAAAGCATTTACGGCCTCCACAATTTTGGCCCCTGCCGCTCTGGTCTCTGTCCCTTGGTGTAGCTTTCTCTCAGCCCCTGAAGCATTGCACCATTCCTAACCACAACCTTAACAGCACGCAGGGCCCCATAGTTTAGGCCCCATCTTGACAGGTCTTCTGTGTTGGAATCTTGCCTGAAAGGGTCCTTACAGCCTAAGTCAGTGAAATCATACTGGCAAGTGACAAGGAAGCCAGGCTTGTCACTTGGCCTGCATGCAATGGACACCAGAGCCCACACAAAAGTTAGTAGTTTTTCACCCGTAGAGAAGGCGGATATGGGATTTCTGAGCAGGACTAGATTCCTGTATGCATGGGCACCACATGGCATCATAGGCTGTTGTGTCAAAGGGCATAGCAACAATTGGTCCTGTGGCTGGATGCCTAGACTCAAGATGGGTCTCAGAAATGGAGACTGAGGTTCCCTAAGTAGGTAGACCATGTTCTGTCCACCCCTAGCATAGATGGAACTGGGGTCTCTGACAACCAACCCCTTCCCCAGGTTCTTGAGTTACAGGAATTTTGCTAAAGATTCCCACCTCCCTTGAGTGGGGACATGGTCATCTGGAGCTTGTTTCCCCCAATGAAAAATGTAATGCATATAGGCGCCCTACTGTATTCCTTCTCTGGCTCTTGGTGTTCACATTGGCTCAGGCTTCCAGTACCTCCAGCAATATGCCCATTTCCACAAGTCTCTGGGGAAGGCCATGGGCTGAGCTCAGAAGGGTCTCTGGGGCCTGGGATGACTTAAGAGCCAAATGGCAGGTAATGAGATTTGTGGGGGCAGATGGAGAGGACCAATGGGAAGTATCACAAGTCCCCTTCCCCAGATGCTATGGTCTGCCTCTGTAGGTGGGCTGCCCAGGCCAGTTTTTGGCAATAGCCTTAGCCCTTCTGATAGGAGAAGTGCCCACCCCGTTTGCCTTGGCCATTCTACCTCACAAGGACTTCCTGGTGAGGCCCCTCACTTCCGTGTCACGTCTGAGCTGCAGCTACAGTCTCCTTGCCCTCAAGGTCTTTGGCAGGTGCCACGGGGCCCCCTCCAGGGTCCTCCTGGCCTACTGTTCCTTCCCAGACCTCCTCCCCACTGCCCGGGCCCTCACCCAGCTCCAGGATCGTAGGCAGGTGGCCCTGCTTTGGGGATCGCTTGCGCAGGCTGAGCAGGAAGGGCTGGGGCAAGGAGAAGATGTCCACGTTGTTGCCCAGGTCAATCCATGTGACGTTGGGGAACTTGCTGGGATCCTTAAGGATGTCAGTGAGGTCGCGCAGCACGGCCCGGGTCAGCTGGTTGCCGTTGAGTGCCAGTGTGGTGAGGCGGGGCAGGGTGCTGAGTGCGGGCAGCAGCTGCAGGACCATGTCATCCGTGAGGCCTGTGAAGCCCAGCTCCACACTGTCCACCTGCTCCCCACAGCGCTGCAGGTAGCTGGTCACCCGCTCCAGGTCTCGGGAGGTCAGTGGGATGCCTGACAGGTCCACTGTGTTGTCTGGGGGGCTCCCTGCCAGGACAGCCTTGAGACTGAAGGGAAAAGGAAAAAACAAGCCTCAGGCACATGGGCAGGCCTTTCCCCCAGAAGCTGCATTGCCCGGTGCTGTGGAGCCAGCTTCTGCCCCGACACTAGGGACCACTTTTTTTGTTTTGAGATGGAGTCTCACTTTGTTGCCCAGGCTGGAGTGCAGTGGCACGATCTCAGCTCACTGCAACCTCCGCTTCTCGGGTTCAAGCGGTTTTCCTGCCTCAGCCTCCCAAATAGCTGGGACTACAGGCGTGGGCCACTATGCCTGGCTAATTTTTCATAGAGATGGGGTTTCGCCATGTTGGTCAGGCCGGTCTTGAACTCCTGACCTTGTGATCGCCTGCCTCGGTCTCCTAAAGTGCTGGGATTACAGGTGTGAGCCATCGCACCTGGCCTAGGGACCACTTTTAACAAAACACTTGCAGGTCGGATGCCATATGCAGAGGTGGGCGCAACCAGGGACTTCAGTCCCCTGACACTGCTGCACATCTCAGCTGTCAGGGCCCAGCTGGCCACAGCCTGAGGTCTGTGGCTGCCCTTATTTACTGGAAAAGTTGAGTTAAAAGTACCATCAGGCTGTTATATGAAATAAGTTCGTAAGTGCAAAATAGTGCCTTGTATAGGTGAGTGATTAATAAACATTGGCTGTTGTATTAATCACTTGGGCTCAGCTTCCCACTTCTACCACCCTTTGCTGGCAGCTTAGCCCCCATGAATGGCACAAAGGCTCTCTGAGGCCCCTCTATCGACCATCTTCCTTACCACAGAAGTGTTCCCTAGGAAGATAGGAGGACCCTGTAGGACAGCAGGCAGGGCAGGGCTCAGAGCCTCAGCCTGGTGGCAGCTGCTGACTCCTGGAGGCTGAGTGCCTTGCTCCTTGCTTTCCCCTGCTTGCTTTTGGGACAGAGCCAAAGCAGTTCAAGCTGATGGCGAGTGTGCCCTTCCCACACACCCCTCTGCCCCCTGCCCCTGCACCCCTGCAGTCTTTGCTGGCTCCAAGGCCCAGGTGCAGTGGTGAGATGTTCATTTTCCACGTTTTTTTTTTTTTTTTTCTTTTTTTGGAAACAGAGTCTTACCCTGTTGCCCAGGCTGGAGTACGTGGTGCAATCTCGGCTCACTGCAACTTCCGCCTCCTAGGTTCAAGTGATTCTCCTGCCTCAGCTTCCTGAACAGCTGGGATTACAAGTGTCTGCCACCACTACATGGCTAATTTTTGTATTTTTAGTAGAGATGGGGTTTCACCATGTTGACCAGGATGGTCTGGAACTCCTGACCTCAGGTAATCCACCCACCTTGGCCTCCCAAAGTGCTGGGATTACAGGTGTGAGCTGCTACGCCGGCCATTTTCTGCATTTCTTTCTTTTTTTTTTTTTTTTTTTGAGGCAGAGTCTTGCTCTGTTGCCCAGGCTGGAGTGCAGTGGCATGATCTCGGCTCACTGCAACCTTCGCCTCCCGGGTTCAAGCCATTCTCCTGCCCCAGCTTCCTGAGTAGCTAGGACTACAGGTGCATACCACCACACCCAGCTAATGTTTTGTATTTTTAGTAGAGACAGGGTTTCACCGTGTTAGCCAGAATGGTCTTGATCTCCTGACCTTGAGATCCGCCTGCCTCAGCCTCTCAAAGTGCTGGGATTATAGGCATGGTATATACCTTGGAGATTGGTAGGGGTTGAGGGGCATGTAGGACACAGAACCTGTGGGCTGTGATAACACCATAGAAAGCAAGTAGAGGGGAGCCTGGAAGGAAGGCTTCCTGGAGGAGGAAGCACACCTGCTTCTTTGCAAATGACCATTGTGGTGGAGTGGTGTGCCCTCACAAAGACTGGCAAGGCCTTGGTGCTGCTGCTAGCCCATCCCTGCAGGTCCCTGCAGACTGGGGAGGGAAGGGCTGTCCCCTCCCTCATGGAGAAGAAAGAGCTCTGGTGCCTCATTCTATTCTGGACACCCCACCCCTACAACCAGGAAATGGATCCTGGAGAGGAGCATTGCCAGGTGGATGAAGAGTATAAGGCTCTCATGGTGCTGGCCAAGGGAGAGGCTCCACCTGGGTAGAGGGGACATATATGGGATAGAGCATGACAGGGGACCTTGGAACCTGGACTCCTATGAAGAGACTGAGCTAATTCTTTAGCATTGGAAAGCTGGAAGTTTGAGCTCTGCTGGATTCTAAGGGCCTCTGCTGGTTCCCCACACATGCATGCTCAGTGCAGTCTTCTTTCAGAAGCCATGTGATGAGGTCTCATTCCCCTCAGGTGCAATCTCATGGCACCTGAGTGAAATTCAAGCATGGACCTCTGATTTGCCCTCCCACCTCCTGGTCTCACCTCTCCTGCCCTCCCGCCCCCGCCACACTGGCCTTCCTGCTGGTTCGAAGACACACCAGGTCCTTTCCAGTCTCGGGCCTTTGTACCCTCTGCTGGAACTCTCGCCAAACTCTTCTGTGGCCTGTGCTTGCTTTTTCTCCATTTGTCAGCTCACACATTACCTTCTCCTGAGTAGCCACACCCCCACGCTGCTGTATCACCCACTCTCACATGGTCCTGTGTGTGGTCTGTCTCCCCATGATAGAGGAAGAACAGGGATTTAGTCCATCCTGTTCACCACTGTGACCCTAGTGTCTAGGATACTGCCTGCACACAGGAGGAGCTTAACAAATGTTTGTTAAAAGAAGGAATGGGCTGGGCAAAGTGGCTCACGCCTGTAATCCCAGCACTTTGGGAGGCCAAGGCAGGCGGACCACCTGAGGTAGGGCATTCAAGACCAGCCTGGCCAACATAGTGAAACCCTGTCTCTACTAAAAATAAAAAAATTAGCCAGGCATGGTGGCACATGCCTGTAATCCCAGCTACTCGGGAGGCTGAAACCTCTTGCTGCTGTGTGGACCAGGGACATGGCTGGGGTCTGGGTCCCCCTGAGACATCCAAGATAACTGGGGAGTTCAGTAGGGAGTGCCCACATTTTTTTTTTTTTTTTTTTTTTGAGACCGAGTCTCACTCTGTTGCCCAGGCTGGAGTGCAGTGGTTCGATCTCGGCTCACTGCAACTTCCAACTCCCTGGTTCAGAGGATTTTCCTGTCTCAGCCTCCTGAATAGCTGGGATTAGAGGCATGTGTCACCACATCTGGCTAATTTTTGTATTTTTATAGGGTTTTACCATGTTGGCCAGGCTGGTCTCAAACTACTGACCTCAAGTGATCTACCTGCCTCAGCCTTCCAAAGTGCTGGGATTACAGGCAGGAGCCACTGTGCTTGGCCAGGAGTGCCCACTTTTAGTACACTAGGAATTAGAAATTTCTCACATTTTTCTCCTGTCCACCCCATCTCAGTGGGCCCATGCTCCCCAGCTCCCACCCACCAGACCACGGTCCCCCTCTAGCTGTTTCCCCACCCTCTTTCCATCTTACCTCCTTCAGGCAGCTTCTATGACCACCCCTTCTGGCCCCTGCCCAGAACTACATTCCCGGGAGGGTGCCCTGTATCACACACTCAGCCTGGCGTAGACCCGCCCAGGGACTAACTCACCAGGCCTGTGGCTTCCTTTTCACCAGCCCCCGGTGCCGTCTCCACTGGGAGTGGGGGCTGAGGTGGTATGTCAGCTGCCGGCACAGCTTCTCCATGGCGCCCAGTGCATCGCCTTCCTGCAGAGGTAACCGTGGGTGGTGGGGCCCTGAGTGGCTGGGTGTACCAGTCCCAGCCTGAACCCCAGGCTGAGCTGGGGGAGGCCCTGCTCTGCTGGCCCAGGGTGCACGCCCTAGGCAGACAGCAGGGGCTGCAAACAGGTCTGCAGGATGGTTTTAGATTTTGTGAATTAGTGGCTAGCATTGAAAAACAGATTTACATTAAGTCTGGATTCCAGGAGATTGGACAACAGTTGGCTGGAGCCAAGTGCCTGGACTCACCATGATCCCGCCACTCCCCAATGCCCAGGGCTGCTCTGTCCATTCTCCTGCTCAGCACATTTATTGAGCACTTTCTTGGAGCCAGGCACTTGTTCTAGAAAGCTAGGATACAGTCATGAACAAATGTCCGTGTCCTTGTATTTCACATAGTAAAGAGGAAAGTGAGATAGTTTTACCTGCGTCCCCCTCAAAAGTGGGAACAAATGAATGAGGAGGCCAAGTCTTTCCCAGCCCAGTTCATTCATACACCTTCCTGACTGGCATTTGAGTTTGAAACCCTGGGTGTCATGGGCTGAATCGTATCCCTCTGACAACTACATGGTGATGTCCTAACCCCTAGTACCTTGGAATGTATTTGGAGACATGGCCTTTAAAGAGGTGACTGATGTAAAATGGGATCAGAGGAGTAGGCCATAATCCTATATGACTGGTGGCCTAAGAAGAAGAAGTGGCAACACAGACATGCCGAGGAATGACCACTTGAGGTCACAGGAGGAGGAGGCACCGAGAGGCCTAGGAGAGAGCCTCGGGAGGAAACCCAGCAGCCAGCCTTGGACTTTGGCCTCCAGAGCTGCTTAGACCACCAGTCTGTGACTTTCTGTGATAGCAGACGCTGGGTTAAACAGTGCAGCAGAAAGATGCTAGTGACTCCAACTATGTCCCAAGGGAAGTCAGTCCACAAGTCACCAGAGCCAAGCTCATGCTGGACAGGGTGAGGGCATGAGTTCCACCAGGGAGAGGGACCAAGAGTGTGCTCCTGCCAGGGGCCAGTGCTGAGGGCTAACAGTTGGCAAGGACTGCACTCAGATGCAAACCACAGGTGGCCAGTGGCTTGGTGTGGGGAGGTCCGGGGCGTTAACCACCCACGGTGCTCAGTATGGTGCCTGGCACAGAGTGGGTGCTCAGCAGGCCACTCTGTCATTAGGATTCCCATGCCCCTCTGCCTGCGGACAAGCAGCTTATTGAGTAGTTAAGAGCAAAGACTTGGGGCCAAACCGGGCATTCAAGTCCTGGCTTTGTCATCTTCTGTGTGGCCTTGGACAACTGCTTGACCTCTCTGTGCCTCTAAGCCATATCTGTGAAGGGATTACAGTATGGACCTCACAAGACTTTCTGTGAGGACTAAACGAGTCACCGCTAGTATAGTACTTTGAATAGAGCCCAACCTACAGCCAACTCTCCAGGCACGCTCTCTAAGTGAGTACTGTGAGAGTGGCACCAGCACAGGGAACTCTGGCAGGGCAAGGAGGGAAGATTACTTCTGCCCAGGCTCAGATTTAAGCTCAGCTCTATTTTTATTTTATTTTATTTTTGAGATGGAGTCTTGCTCTGTCACCCAGGCTGGAGTGCAATGGCACGATCTCGGCTCACCGCAACCTCCGCCTCCCGGGTTCAAGCAATTCTCTTGCCTCAGCCTCCTGAGTAGCTGGGATTACAGGCATCCACCATCACACCCAGCTAATTTTTGTATTTTTAGTAGAGACAGGTTTCACCATGTTGGTCAGGCTGGTCTTGAACTCCTGACCTCAAGTGATTCACCGAGCCCGGGCTGAGCTCAGCTTTTAAGAGCAGAGAGGTTAGTGATTTTGGATGGAGAAAGAAAACGTGACGCATCCTTGAGTAAGGAGGTCTGTGCCAGGGCTCGGGGATGTGGAGGCCGTGGGGTGTGTTACTGACATGAGGGCAGGTGAAGGCCTGGGGCCTGATCACATCTGGTCCCTCCATGGTTCATGCCATTGTCATGCTTGCATACCAGACATCATGCAAGGTTATGAAATTCCCACAGCACCCCAGGGCAGTAGATACTTTTGTTAGCCTCATTATGCAGAAGGGGAAACTGAGGCCCAGAGGGCTGGGGATGGGCCTGGGGCTGATAGAAAGGCAAGGGAAGGAGACTCGGAGAAAGGAAAACAAGAGAGAGAGGAGGTGGGAAGATGGGGGTTAAATGTCCAGAGGAGAGAGGCATCCGTGGAGAGACCCAGGAGACCAAGGAGGGCCCCAGACTGAAAAGAGTGGATTTAGAGGACCCCTGGGCTACAGTTCACAGCCCATCGCCACCCCTGCCCCCAGCTTCCTGGTGCCTAGCTGTCTGATGAATAATCTTGTACCACCAGCCTCTTGCACCTGAGTTACACCTGTCACTCCTGTGTGTCACTCTTGTGTGTTGCAGATGTGGGAGCAGGTGAGCATCTGCCTGTACAGCTTCATTCCCCACTCCTGGAGCTCACACCTTCTGGTTCCTAGACTTGCCTTCTTGCTGAGCCTGGACACACGGCTGTATGGTAGGAAGCAAGGTGGGTGAAACAGGAGGAGCTGGGTCATGGGGGCTACAGGGGAGCCGTTGAAGGGGACTGTCTCTGACTGGAAGATGGAGACAGGGGTGGACAGGAGGTGGAGAGGGTGACTCAGGGCCAGGCCAGTGGAAGGGGCTGAGGGGACAAAGGACACGCAGCTGACCAATATGCTGGATGGAGAAGGTGTGGGCGGGGCGGGTGAGGAGGGTCTAGGCTTTGGGCTTGGGACCTAAGTAGAAGACAAGGCGCTCAAGACAAGAAGCAGGTAAGAAAGCAGGAGGGGGTGACCTGCTCACATGGGGCCATGGTAAGTTTGAGGGGCTCACAAGACCTCCAGCTGTGAATGCCACTGGACTTATGGGGCTGGATCTTAAGGCAGGTCCAGGCTGGACACATTCATCAATATCTGATTAAACCCCTGGCCAGTAACGAGCTGAGCAGGAGGGAGAGAGAATACTGGACACACAGCGGTCAGAGAAGACTGTCAGAGCAGCAGGATGAGCGGAGTGGGGACACCAAGGAGAAGAGTGGCTGATGGGGTTAGACCCCTGCAGAGGCCACTGGGTCTCCAACAAGGAGGCCATGGCCAGCGCAGGTTCAGGGAGAGGGGCCATGGTGGGAGCTGACCATGGAAGCCAAAGGGAGAATAGGGACCAGGTGTGGTAGCTCACATCTGTAATCCCAGCACTTTGGGAGGCCGATGTGGGCAGATCAACTGAGGTCAGGAGTTCGAGACCAGCCTGACCAAAATAGCAAAACCCCATCTCTACGAAAATACAAAAATTAGCCAACGTGGTGGTGCCTGCCTGTGATCTCAATTACTCTGGAGGCTGAGGCAGGAAACTAACTTGAACCCAGGAGGTGGAGGTTGCAGTGAGCTGAGATCACGCCAGTGCACTCCAGCCTGGGTGATAGAGTGAGACTCTGTCTCGAATAAACAAATAAATAAATAGAACAAAAGGAGAATGGGAGGTGACACTGGAGTTGGCTCATCTAGAGCTGCACTTCTTCACCTTGGAATCTTGCACATTGGAATCCCAGGGCAGCTTTAAAGTACACTGATGGATCACACACTGGGGTCTGTTGGGGGGACTAGGGGAGGGACAGTGGGGGGTAGGGAGGTTGGGGAGGGATAACATGGGGAGAAATGCCAGATATAGGTGATAGGAGGATGGAGGCAGCAAACCACATTGCCATGCATGTACCTATGCAACAATCCTGCATGATCTGCACATATACCCCAGAACCTAAAGTACAATAAAATATATATATTTTTTAAAAAGGTACACTGGTGGGCCAGGTGCTGTGGCTCACTCCTATAATCCCAGTACTTTGGGAGGCTGAGGCAGGAGGATCACTTGAGTCCAGGAGTTCAAGACTACCCTAGGCAATATAGTGAGACCTGCTCTTTATGGGGGGGGAAAAAAAAGCCCAGCATGGTGGTATGTGTAGTCCCAGCTACTCAGTAGGCTCTTGAGCCCCAAAGGTCAAGGCTACAGTGAGCTGCGATCACACATCTGCTCTCCAGCTTGGATAATAGAGTGAGACCTTGTCTCAAAAAACAAAACAAAACCAAACAAGAAAAAAACCCACTGATGCCTGGGCCACTCCAGTGATGGGTGGGTGGCTCAGGCATGGGGATTTTTTGTTTTGTCTTTGAGATGGAGTTTTGCTCTTGTTGCCAGGCTGGAGTGCAATGGCTTGATCTCAGCTCACCAAAACCTCCGCCTCCCGGGTTCAAGCAATTCTCCTGCCTCAGCCTCCTGAGTAGCCAGGATTACAGGCATGCACCACCACGCCCAGCTAATTTGATATTTTTAGTAGAGACAGGGTTTCTCCATGTTGGTCAGGCTGGTCTCAAACTTCTGACTTCAGGTAATCCGCCTACCTTGGCCTCCCAAAGTGCTGGGATTACAGTAAGCCACTGTGCCTGGACTTTTTTTTTTGAAACAGAGTCAGCCTGGAATGCAATGGCACCCTCTCGGCTCACTGCAACCTCCACCTCCTGGGTCCAAACGATTCTCCTGCCTCAGCCTCCCAAATAGCTGAGATTACAGGTGGGTGCTACCACAACCAACTAATTTTTTGCATTTTTAGTAGAGATGGGGTTTCACCCGTTGGCTAGGCTGGTCTTGAACTCCTGACCTCTTGATCTGCCCTCCTCGGCTTCCCAAAGTTTTGGGATTACAGGTGTGAGCCACCACTTCCGGCTAGGCACGGGGATTTTTTTTTTTAAGTTCCCAGGTGATTCCTGCTGGGTGCAGCCGACGTGGAGAAGCACCGATTCAGACAAAGACCATCGGTGGGATCAGGCGGTCTGCCCAGCATGGCTTCTAGAACCACCCAGGACGGAACACTGCCAGTCTCCAAAGCTTAGAACTGAGCTCCTCAGCTGCAGCTCCTCCTTCAACCACTTCCCAGGGTTTCCAAAATCTGGGGCCAAAA